TTGTGCCTATTATTTGTGTGTCTCTCGGAGGAATCTTGGGAACTTGGCTTAAACGAAAATGTCGCTTGAATGGGGATGCTGTGAAAGCGTATCTTCCGGCGAAAATGAGATAGACTATGCTATTTGCTCGTCTTGCAATAAGGCGTACCATTTTTATTGTTTACACATCTCCGCGGACGTATAGAGCCACTGGAAGTGCCAGAATTGTGTTCGCCGTAAAACACGCAATAATAAGGACACTCCCATACGCTGCGTTGCAGAATTTTATAAACAAGAGAGCGCCCTGCTCTACAGTTGCCGCCTCAAGATGTAGCTCAATCTCTGACGCGAGAATATGCGTCAAAGATAATGAGAGAAGTGATAAAGTCCGAGATGAAGGCAGCTACGGTCGAACTTGGATCAGTTCTGTCGAACTTGTTCAGTCAGGAAATCAAAACCATCAAAGATGATATAAGGGAGGTCAAGAATTCTATGGATTTTATTAATTCTGAATACGAAGACTTCAAAAAGGGAGTATCGTCAGACGGCTGAGAACTTAAAATGCCTAGACGCGGAATGTACCTCGATGCGCTCATCTATCAGTGAGCTCAACAATCGTATAAATATGTTAGAACAACAGAACAAATCCAATAATATGGAATTGCAATGCGTACCTGAGAGTAAAACGGAAAATATAGTTTGACTGGTGATGAATATGAGCGGTTTCCTCAAATGTGAGCTTAAAGCAGAAAATATTATATATGGTGCAAGAGTACCCAAAGCAAAACGGACCAGTCTTCGACCAAGACCAAAATTGTTGTCCAACTCAGCGCTGTAAAAATACGCGACAGTCTTCTTGCTGCGGCAATAAATTATAATAAGGCTAATCCTGCGGACAAATTGCACACGAATCATATGGGCATTTCTGGTAATAGACATCCTATATATTTCGGAGCATTTGTCACCTGCTAATAAATTGCTACACGCTGCCACTAGAACTAGGGCTAAAGAGTGCACTTTTAAGTATGTATGGGTCAGGGGGGGGTAAAATTTTTGTGCATAAGAATGAAACCTCTAACTATATTATAATCAGGGATTTAATTTCCTTGGACAAATTAGTAAAATAAGTTTGTCATCTTTTATATAAATTCTTTATTTCAAACATATATACTTATTTTTTATGAAAAAAATTCTCGTCTTTAAATGTTTATTACCAGATTTGTCGTGGTTTAAGATCAAAAACGGATGTTTTCTACTGTAACCTTACGTGTTCTAATTATGACATACTAATACTAACAGAAACTTGGTTAATAGAACAACAGTTAACAGAGAAACATCAGGTATTAATCATTTTAAAGACGGAGGAGGTGTGCTTATTGCAATTTCAAATCAGTTCATATAGAGTTAAGGAATGGGAAAGCCAAAGTGAAGATCTTTGTGTTACCCTGACTGTGCCAAGCAATGTCACCAAATTACAGTTAGCATTGTGTGCTGTACATTTACCTCATCCTGTAAACAAATCTAGAATGGAACTCTTTGTAGAAAATTGTAATAGAGTGTCTGAAATTCATGATTACTTTACATGTATTGTGGGTGATTTCAATTTAGGTACAATTGGGACAATGTAAACAATAACTCCAGAATGCCAAACTTTTTACGATTTTACTTTAGTAAGCAATTTAAACCAATTAAATTTTTGTAAAAATAGAATGGGTAGAACATTTGACCTGGTACTCACACATTTTCCAGTTTGCAAAGCGAGTGTTTCACAATATCCTATGATTAACTTGGATCCTTTGCATCCTGACTTGATCTTCCAGCTATCATTTCTGGCCGACAAAGCGCTTAGTCCTAATAATAAATAACAGTAAGGTTAAATTTTTACAAAGCTGATTTTGACGTCATAAATAATGCGCGAGCCGAAATTGATTGGTGTAGGTGGTTTCTGGATGTCAATGATGTCAATAAGATGCTGGATATTTTCTATTGTGAGGTCAAGCGAGTAATCACTAAATTTGCACCTATTATCAGGGCTAAGAACTGTAAATTCCCTTACTGGTTCTCTAGACCATTAATTAGAGCGTTAGCTGAAAAAAATAAGATTAGGCGTAGATTCAAGACATATAACAATCCTATGGATGAAGTGGAGTTAAACATTTTAACTAATCGTTGTCGAAGACTTGCTACTGACTGTTATAATAACTATGTCAAACGTGTTGAGCAGTCCATTCGTTTTAATCCCAAATTTTTTTGGTCTTACGTACAGGCAAAGAGAGGAGGCTCAAGTTCCAATCCTAGTATTTTAAGGGATGGCAATGTATCGTCTAACAGTGGTAGTGACATGTGTAATATGTTTACAACGTATTTTTCGTCGGTATATGAACCTCCTGATCAACACGCGTATGATATATCAGACCATTTGAAATGCATCTCATCCTCCAGTGATAACCTTCCGACTTTAACTTTATCACAAAATAGTGTTCTTCAGAGGTTGCAAGCTTTGAATGCGACAAAGGGAGCAAGATTCGATGATATACCTTCTTTTTTTCTTCGTAACTGTGCAGAAAAATTAGCTGGGCCGGTCACTTCTATATTCAATATATCGTTAAGTTTAGGTTATTTTTCCGACCAATGGAAATTGCTCGTGTTATACCTATTCCCAAGTTCGGAAGAGTGGAACTTATAAATAATTACAGACCTATCTCCATTTTAGCAACATTGGCAAAAGTCTTTGAAGCCTTGGTTTGTCCTATTTTGCAAGCATATTTTAGTAAATATTTAAGTGAGCACCAACATGTCTTTGTTAAAGAACGATCGACAGTAACGAATTTAGTTTAATATATTAATACATAAATAATAATATAAAAAAAACAAATAAAAAATAAATTTTAGTTTAATTTGCATTTACGGAAATGATATTCAGATCTATTGACTCTCACCATCAAGTCGATATCATATATACGGATCTTAGTAAGGCCTTCGACAAGGTACCACATAATATACTATGTAAAAACTTTCAGTTTATGGCATTGGTGGTTCTTTTTACAAATGGCTGAAATCGTATTTGGGGGATAGATTATTTTATGTAGTCATCAACGGTTATCGTTCTCAGTTGCAACGAGCAACATCAGGCGTGCCCCTGCGCTCACACCTGGGACCAATTTTATTTAATATATTCATAAACGATCTTCCATTTACTATTAATAGTTCTTCTCCTTTTGTGTACGCCGATGACTTGAAAATTTCTAGGGTCATTTTAAGTGACAATGACTCTAAGCTTCTTTAAACTGATTTAAATAATGTGGTACATTGGTGTGACAGCAATGTATGGAGTTGAACGTTGCAAAGTGTACTCACATTAAACTTACTAGAAATCTTTCACCTATCTCCACTAATTACTACATAAAAGGGACACTTCTGGTTGAGTCTGATATCTCGGACGGAGTTCGAGATCTCGGTGTGATACTTGACAAAAAATTCACTTTCGTACCTCATATTGATAAAACCATAACAAGTGCCTCTCGTATCTTAGATTTCTTACTCAGAACCTGTACAGTGTTTAGGAGTCCAAAAACAGAGTTAATACTTTATATCACCTTAGTCCGTAGTATTCTGGAATACTGTAGCACTGTGTGGCGTCCACATTTTGCCACTCACTCACTGAGATTGGAGAGGATACAGAAAAGGTTTGTGAATCATTTGGCGTTCTACACTGGACAAGCTAAAGAACTTTGTTCATATAAATCTAGACTCACAAAGTTCCAAATGCTGTCGTTGGAGAAGCGACGGGACATTTAGATATGATGTTTTATATAAATTATTAAATAATGAAATTAAATGCAGTTCAGGCCTAAACCTTATATCATTTAATGTTCCCCGCAGACTACCTAGATTTTACATCAAGCCTCTTTGCAAGCATTTTCGCAGGACTGCTTTAGGCGCGAATTCTCACATTGCAAGGCTTTGCCAGTTGTACAATGATCACTACGCAACGATTGATTTACACTACTTCTCTGCAGTAAGAACCAAGCGCGAAATGTCGTCACCTTCCTAAAACTTCGTCACCTAATTTCTTTTTTATGCTTTCGCTTAGTTTTAAGCTATTAACACTATTTGTGTTTGTAAAAACAGTGATTTATATAATTAAATTAATATTTACACTTTTCTTTTTGTAAGTTTCTTTTTACTCTGCAATAATTTATTGTGCATGTAGTGTTTATAATAGATTGTGCACTTAGTTTTAAGTTTTTTTTTTGCATGTATGTTTTCTGATATTTTATTGGTGTAACAATTGACCAAATAAATTAAAAAAGTAAGTTTATTTTGTTATCACTTTGTTTGTACTTTTGGATTTTCCTTTTATAACAGATATATGCCAATCTGTTAGTTAACAAAAATTTCCTTTTTGAACAGGACTAGTTACTTACAAATGCTAATAGCTAATGAGTAAGTATTTAGCATCTATTTAAAATAATTAATGTCACAATTATAAGAATGTATTAATTAATTATTATGGCTGAACTTGCACTAGCGGGAAAATGGTGTTTATAACTATTTCTTTGGAAAATCTGGAACCTGAAGATGAAAACCAATGAAGATTAGAGTTATCTCTCTTTGTTTTATTGTATCACTTGCTTTAGGGATACGAATTATTTCTATATACTACAATGTGTTGAACTGTTTGTTGAAATAACTGAAGTATGAAACATTTTGGGTTCACACCTAGTAAATTCAGGAACTCGTCCGTGTTCGAATTCGTTCTCCGGATAATTAGCCATGAAGGCCTCAAAGTCGTTCATTTTAAAGATATTTTAATACTAATTTATAAACCAAAACAAAAAGGTAGGTAAATACGTAAAATAAAATAAAATGTCAGAGCAACTCAAGAGAAAACGCAAATAACCAGTGATAAAAATGTTAAAACATTTTCAAGTCAAACTTAAGACAGCTAAAGACTGGTTTTGTACAAAAATAAATGGAATTCAATCACAAACACCCACACACACACACACACACACACACACAGTTATCATAGTTTAGAGCTATCAATTTAAATATTTTAATTTTTGTATGAAAGTAACGTCTGATTAATTATTAAAAGCATGAAACAAAAGTTGTTGTTTGTAACGTTAGGATAATAGCCCTGCGAGATTGTTATTATTTTACAAATAACCCTGTATATTATATGAGTGTGTATATTATCTATCTGTATATTATAGTATCTGTCTGTATATTATATTACAAATAAACATTAGCAAGTCGCTGAGAACAATGACCAAAGAAAAACAACCTTAAATAAAAGAAGAAGTGGCAACAACAGATTGGCATATAATCTTGTTAACTACTGTGATTTCTACTTCTGAGCGACTCATTTTCATTAGCCATTCCTTCCGCATCATCGTTTTCGATTCCTGTGGTACCCTTGGCGTCTGCATCATCACCTGTTGCTTCCTCTTCTGCTTCTGACTCGTCATTTTCGGTCTTAGTCCCGGCCTCTTCTTCTTCATCACTTTCAACATTAGTTGTATTATTTTCATCATTACCATTAGTGTCAGAGTTAGACTCATCATCAGCACTTTCATCGGGTTCTTTGGATTTACTTGTAGTAACCTTAGGTGCTTGACACCCTGCCTGAATAGTGACAGCTATAGGTAAATTGTAAGTCCAAATCTTCACAACTATGTACATTTTTTTTAATCCGCCGCGTATTACTTTTACTTTTGGACCATGGCTGAAACCAAGACGATCTGCGACTCGAAAGTACGTTAGCTGTAGATGAAATAATAGCAATATTAATAATAGAGCGAAATTCCGTGTGAAACTATTAGAAATGTTTATTGAAACCGAATCCTTTCACTGGAGCTCAATGTGATACACGACAAGTTGCTGGACTGGAGAAGGTTCTAGAATCGAAGTATGTTACTGGAAAACGCTGACATTTGTGACCATATTACGATGATTCTTTTTTTGTTGCAAATGGGATACTTCTGTAGAGAACCCATTCGAATTTGATGCTAATATTTCCCTTCTAAGGGCAAGTTAGGGTATGAATTCTATGGAATTTCACCCACTTACAGATTTAAATGAAACTTGGCATTATAGATGTAATTCCAAAGAAGCTGTGATTCACACACTGGATCTTACTCGATTTAACGAATTTCGTTGGCTATTTAGCGCGGTAATGCTGCCAGTGTTTTGGGGACGTTTGAACCAGCAAAGATTCAGAGCGATCGATAGTCCTTTTTCATTGTTAGTACAATCCAACTAGTGTTGGATAAAAAAGGCTAAGTCTGGCGAATTGCATTATTAATTTTTATGTGACGAAGCCTATTGCTGATTTATATTTGTGTCTTCCTAACGAAACCTACGTTGCGGAAAGATATAATTATGTAATTAATTTAGTTTTTAAATGAATTGAATTGTATTTAGTTTTTGAATGAATAAAAGGCGGTTCTATTCCAAAGAAAATAAAATGTTATAGTAATTTAGAGCTGATCTGAGCTATGTGCGCTGCCCACTGCCACTTCAACTTGCTAATCCTTCGAGCTATGTCGATGATTTTCGTTCTTTTACGGATCTCTTCATTTCTGATTCGATCACGTACAGAAATGAAGAGCATTGCGAACATGCTCGCTCCATAGCTCGTTGAGTGACTTTGAGCTTTTTTATGAGGCCCATAGTAAGTGACCACGTCTCAGAGCCGTAGGTCATCGCTGGCAACACGCACTGCTCGAAGGCTTTTTCCTTCAAGGACTGCGGTATTGCGGACGAGAAGACGTCCCGGAGCTTCCCGAAAGCTGCCCAACCGAGTCGGATTCGACGATTGACCTCTCTCTCGAAGTTGGCCCTGCCTAATTGGACGGTTTGTCCGAGGTAGATCAACTCGTCAACAACTTCGAGAGTAGAGGTTAGGTTAGGGGTGGGTATGTATTGAATGGGCTCATGTAATTCGTTTTTATGAAGACTTCAATATGAGTTACTAGTAACGAATACGGTGAAGGCAGCTAAGCAAACTTTGGAGGTGGGTTTTTAATAAAAAAAGCTTATAATTATCTTTAACATTGTACTGGCCAAATAAATGTTACGAATCATCGCAGGGACCTGCACTCAACTCAATTCAAGTTCAAGTATTGCGTTTATGTGTAGTTGTTCGAATTTGCTCTAGTGACTGGAGCAAAATTGAAAATTAAACTGTCTAGATCAACATTCAAGTTCCGATTGACTTGTGCCTTCCCTGGAAGATCGTGGCTTAGGTATATGGATTATACTAAACGTTACAATACTTACACAACAAGCAAAGGTTTTTCCATATTTAAAGGTCGTTTCACCAAAGGGGACTTTTTCTTTGTAGACGATATCTTGCGTCACCAAAATATCGGAATGTTTAAACATTCCAATAACAAAGTCTCTACCCACAGCAACATTTACAAAAGATATGTATAATAATGCTTTTAGATACATGTTACTTATAATATAATCTCTTTATATTTTCAGTCGTTTTAAATCAGAGATGTAGTAAACACTTAAATATCTCTGTGAAACATAACTACAATAAAGTGCTAACAATAAAGTAAAAACGCGTGAAATTATTTTTCTAATCTAAACTATTCGGTATTAGCTATAAATATTTAATGTATGTGCTATAATTTTTAATTTTGCTTTTAATACCTATAGTTACGTAAATGCTACAGGTTCACATATGTAGGTGAATTATTATGTGCCGTATATATACGTCATCATAATAGAGGTTAGTACTGTCATTATATCTGTTTCTGGAGTCAAGTAGTAATGTGAGCATTACAGTGTTCCGGATTTGAAGGGTAAGAGGGCTGGTGAAAGTATGGACACAGGGCGCAGTAGCAGTGCACCTTAAATCTTAGCTATTAAAGCTCTCATTCATTCATATCGTCTCGATGGCATACACAAAAATGCTTGCCATCGTGGTGAAGGGATTTGCCAATTGGTTTTAATGTACTCGCTGATTGCTACCCAGGGTGCGCCAGATGTACAGGAGTGGTGCCGTGCGGGGAGTCTCCTTTCGTGCACACCAAGCCATCAAAGCTCTGAGTGTTACTTTTTTTGTAATATCAAGTGGCGGGACGAACAAGTCGTTCGCCTGATGGTAAGCTACACGCCTGTACATAACAATTGCAGTATTCTCAGAGCTTTAAATTGCAAAGATCTTAGGGACTCTGCCACTGCGCCCGTCACCCTGTGACATACGTTGACATGTACCATGTGCCTGTAATTTCACCAGCACCCTTACCCTTCAAAACTGGAACACAGTAATGCTGACATTACTGCTTGGCGGCAGAAATAGGTAAGGTGGCAGTACTTCCCTGGACAAACTCTTTCACAAGGAGCTCTACTGCTACTAAACACTACTAGACACTAGAGACTCTTATGGGTACTCTTATGTTGCTTACCATTAGTCTCACGACTTGTTTGTCCCGTCACTTGATTTCTTAAAAAAACGACGTGACGTCGCATTACTATGAAATTACCTAATATATTCTAGCGTGGTTTGAGAGCCAAATATGTTGAAGGATTAACTTACAGACACGAGTATTAGAGGAAGACTATTCATCTTTAGTCTACTATGTACAAATTTTCAAATAGGAATTGTATACATTTGCGCCATATGTACTATAATTTCTGACATGAATTTGTGATAAAGGAGTCATCATATGTATTGACTCAGAAACGCATTAACCCGGCCAGAAAAAGCTTTATGTACATGTAATAGGAGTGACAAAAACGTTGCGCGTTTCATATAATGAAATAAGTACGGTAACTTCATACAAACTTGGCAGCATGGCTTGTATGTGTGCACGCTTACCGCCGTGTACAGACGCACACATTCGCATAGCCTAACGGTATTCGCATAATTGCGCGGGTTGGCCGTCGCACATGCCATTACTTATAGAATCGAAGCGGTCGCTTAGTGTTTAAAAAAATACATTAATTAGTACAGTTATTGTTGAATTTATTGTAATTATCATGTACAATCGAATAGATGAGTTAAGGTACTTCTCAGTTCGTGTCGGTTCCAGTCCAATGCCAGATTTTCTGTATTCTACAATGTGTCTTTCACTGCGCATCTGCGCCAGGAACTATTGACAACATGTCATCGTAGAGGAACATAATATGTTTGGGAGTAATATCCCAGGTGCGCCCGCCTGTCGTATGGCTCACTTTGTTGTTAATAAAACGTACGATGTAGTTGCGACGCGTTTATTTGACTGTCTAATACTATATGAATTTAATAAATCGTAGACAATGTTAGGGGAACTACGCGGAAGGTAGAAGAAGGAAAATAAGTGCGCATTTGACCTCCATCTCACCCGATGGAAAGTAAGGTTGACTACGACGATGGAGCATGCACACTTAAATAATGCCTATTCATTCTCGCTTTGAAATGTATCTATTTATTTTAATTTTTAAATCATGTACCTATTACTTAATGTCTTGTTAATAATATAAATTACTATAAATTCAAATGTGAAATTGCAATGCCCGAACAGGGTCCTTGTACTGTCACTGTGATAGTTATTAAGATTGATTTTACACAAATTGTACATGCAGCAATAACGAATAAACAAATAAATGTCTCAAATTAAAGTGTTCAAGGAATAAGTCTGCAGACAGGGAATTCCACTCCATAGCCGTTCGCCATATAAATGTGGAATCGAAACATTCCGTGCGAACCGTTGGTATATCCATAATCACCTCTAGGTATGTCTACGTCTACGTCTACATCTAGTCCTCCCATGATGGAAAGAAGAAAGCGGACTTTGAATCATGCAATTCCATCGCACACTCTCCGTAGTATATCCTGTAGAATATCGATAATCAGGCAAATTTGCAGCGGTGTTCAAGGCTCTGCGATTTATTCTTTCACCTCTACGACTGACACTTATTTTAAATTTGATAATAATTTTAAAGTTTCGTTTCGATTGTTTCTATGTTTTTCTTTCTCGTTTTTCAACCTTTTTTTTAATAAAAAAGTTATAAACAGATGTGAACCAAAACTTTCTAGTTTGGCTTTTACACCCTTCTTTTCCCAAGTGTAGAAAAGGTTATTTCAACTCTATTGCTGGGTCCCCTTCAAATACAAAAGGCAAAAAAATCAACACATTTTCTATATGAAAAGGGGCTGTAATCCGTAGCAATAACACAAGTGCATACAAAAATGCACCCTCACGCAACATTAGGCCCCCATTTATTGTATTATCATAGGAAACATTCACTGGCCTAGAGTCGGGTATCGGAACATACGGGACTATAATTTTGACATTTACGCAACGTTTGTTATGAAAGTTCAGGTAGAATTGGTTATCTGTTTTATCTGCTAGTTTATAATATTTTTCTCTTTTTTTCACTTGCACGGTGTTGCCTTCTAATTGTTTTTGGTTTTGGTTTGGGGTTGGCTGGAAGAAATTTTTAGAGATATCAAGGTCGCTCAACATCTGTTCTGTGGTTGCAGGTAGATATTAAATGTGTAAAACAAGTAAATTCATTAGTTAATGTCTGTTAATTGTTTTGTTTCCTTGTTTTGGCCGCAAGCAAATACAAATGTTCATAGAAATAAGTATCAGAATTTTTGCTCTTCGTTTGGTTATGTAAACAAAGATTTGCTCAAATGCTTTCATTCCATTTAAACACACAATGACATTTTATTAGTGCTCTTTATTTAGAAATTACAAGTAGCTACTTTTTGCAGTGACGACCCGTAAGGCCCAACGATTTGCTCTGAAGGCGCTGGATGAGGAAATCCCGCAGGTTTGATACCCGGTAGGGCCAATTAGGATATTAACTTTTTTGGTTGTGGTCTGATTGCTCTGGGTAGACTTTGTTACTCTCAATCTCTCTCTGTCTCGGCCTCTGGTACTCTTAGTACACGTAATTATTATTCTTCTTTTCTGTCGCCTTTGGTTGGTTTTACTATATTTATGGACCGAAACCAAGCGTGGCATGCATCTATATGTAGAGGTGTGTTGTGATAAGAACCACTTATTGCCCTACCTGCTTATACCCAAATAATATTAAGATAATCACACATATTACTTTTGTTTTTCAATAACTGATTATTAACTTGCAGGGTAAACGTGGCGGAATGGCGAAGTAGTGATTGGCTAGTGAAAATTGGCTAGTGAAAATTCTTCATTTTGAAAATACTTAAAGTCAGAGATTACATTAATTTACTGTCGGAATAATTATTTTAACGATCTACTATAAAACAATTCTACGTTTGGTTGTCAACCTTTCCTTTGAATCAAACTAATATTGTAACTTCATCATTGTACAATTGTAATTCGCGCAATCTTTTTGTCACCAACGCTCTTTACTATACAATGCTATCTAGTGGTCACATGCGTTACTATTTGTTATATGCTTAGGAATCAGACACTACATTAATTTACTATGTATGAATAGTATGTAAGTGGTCTGTGGTATGAATAACGTATGAATACATATTTCATAAATCCATAGTAAAATAATACTACACTATGTATTTTAACTGAGCCGATATAAATTCTGGCTAAATACATATGTGTTCTATCAGTCTTTTAAGTAAAGAACACTATTAAATAGTATCCCGAGTGAGTGGGAAACTTAGTCCTTTCTGAGCTTTTTATAATTTTTTTTCGACTTAATTCGAAATATATCCTAGTGTGTTACAGCAGAGAAGGAAATCGCTTATAAATAAACACATTAGTGTGAAAGCCGGATTTGAGGGTAGCAACAACTCAGTTCTGAGATTCATCGTGTTATTGTCCGATGATAGCTAATGTTGCACTGCCATCGGAAGTGATGTTAGTTTGATTTGCAACATTGTGTTAGGCCCTATTCGCCCTTAAACACATATGTTGTTGAGAGATATAGTTTCGTTAAGACGATAGGCCGCGCGGCTGCGACTGGCATTTCGTAGTTTGATTTTCATTTTAATAATATATGTAGTAGATGCTTCGATTTAACTTTGTAAAACAAAGAAAACTTATAGCTGCATGTGTTACGCCGTTCAATATTCTAAAATTGGGTCATGTTTTTTTTATGATATCTCAATAAATTATCTAGTCGTTCGTCCCATCTGTTGGTATTATAAAAAAAGTATACTGCTTTTAACAGGGACGTTTTGGAATAGAAGCGAGACTACACGAAGCCTTGCAGATTTACTTCAACGCAACCGGAAAACTAAAATATGTGCTGGAAGCGGCGGCTTCCTGCGTCACAGAACAGTCACAAAGCCTGTTCTCGTTTTTGGTAGACACGGGTGCAAATATATCCGTCATAACGAAAACAAAATAACCGTTGCGGCTACAAACTGTCACTTTCCCTTTTTCAAAATCTATAAAAAAAGCTTACCCTTTTAAGCGTTGTTTAGAAAAATTCTGAAACACATGTTTATATATTTTGTATTTAAAGTATTCAATTCGAGTTTTAAGAAAATTTCATCAACTTTGATACTCCATTTCACTTCTATTTAGGGATAGTTTTGAAGAAATGTTATGTCAGTTTTTTTCCGTTTGCATTATACAATATTTATACTAAGTTTCATCTTTATAAGTTACGATTCGTTTTCTCATACAAATATTTTAACCCTTTGCCGCCCGCTTAGTAAAAGAAACATTTTCCAATAAATAAGAATCGAAATCGGTTCACAAATGTCGTAATAATCGAGTACACAAAAAATGAATACGGTTCAAATTGAGAACCTCCCCCTGATTTGAAGTTTTAAAAAAATGCTGTATTTATCCAAACCTCGATCGTTTGATGTCGCCCAACTTCACAGTACTCAGACTTTGTCCATGTTTGTTTATTTTATTTGTTCTTGTGCTCTAGAAAGAGTACTTTTATTGCATTGTTATTTATTTACAACAATGCGGTAAATTACATTGTAATAAAAGTAATTGTTATAGTTGTTTAAAAAGGTGTGTAAACATTTGCTTAGATCCGAAAAATTTTTATCGTAGGAATATGTTACATTACCACTCTATCAAAATAATTGTATTTTTAAAATAGATTAGATATTTCTAAGTTTTCGATCTTTGTATTAATAATTATAACAAACGAGTGGAGCAATTTCACAAAAAAAATTATTGAATATCGCGGTGGTCGTCAGATACCGTGACATTCAATAAAAACTTAAAAGTTAGTAGTATGAAGTTCACAAGTGCTTTTAATTCGCCTAGTTTGAATAGAAAATTTAATACTTAGAGTGCACCACTATTTCTCAATACTAGTAGGAGCTCCTTGTGAAAGAGTTCGTCCAGGGTAGTTGCCACCTTACCTATTTCTGCTACCAAGCAATACTGTTAGCATTACTGTTTTCCGGTTTTGAAGGGTAAGTGTGCTGGTGGAATTACAGGCACATGTGACTCGTCAACTTATGTCTCTGGGTGACGGGCGCAGTGGTAGTGCCCTTCAAATCTTTGCAATTTAAAGCTCTGAGTGGCACTGTAACTGTTATGGACAGGCGTGTAGCTTACCATCAGGCGCACGACTTGTTCGTCCTGTCACTTGATGTTATTTAAAAAAAAAAAACGTTTTTCTGTGTTGATTGCATTGTCCTTCTATGCGATGGGATCATATCGGGTCTTATAGGCAATAACGAAGGACATTTTGTGGCTCAACAAACCTCACACAAGTTATAGCCTGCCTCAATACTAAAAAGTGAGGAGGAAATACATGGAATTGCTCCGAAATCGAAAAAGCGATGTCCTCGAAGTGGTTTTAAAAGTTTCGGAAATAGCCAGAAGTCTGGTCAGGAGGATGGAGCTAGGTCAGGCGAATAGGGTGGTTGCGGAATGATATGCGTTGAATTTTTGATGAAAAAGCCATGAAGACCCAATGCCGTGTGAGAAGGTGCATTATTTTGATGAAAAATCCAAGAGTTGTCTGCCTATAATTCCGGCCTGTTGTGGCGAATAGCTTCACGCAAACGACGCATAGCGTTCAGTTCAACTGTCAATATTCCTTATTAACAGTTTGTCCCGGCGGAAGGAACTTATAATGCACTACACCACGATAATCGTAAAAAAAACACTGTCAACATAACCTTGTTTTTCGACTGGCGTAATTTTTTCAGTTTCTCACCTCTTGCACGATATTAATTTGATTGGTTGGCTAGTTTAGCTAGGCTAGTGGTTAGTTTCCGGGTCGTATGCATAAATACATGTCTCATCTTCTATATGATAATTCGATGAATCATCAGAGAAGATTCTTACATATTAACACGACTCTTTTTCAAAAAGATCTAGTTTTTTCGGAACCAAACGAGATGAGACACATCTATCAAAATCTAATTGACCCGAATGAGTGATGTTAACAAGGTCTCAAGCTGTCAATCTACGGTTTCTGAGCATTTAAACCTTGATTTTATCTTGATCTACTTGACGTGGTTCTCGTCGGAAGAAGTAGAAGGACGACCTGGGCGTTCATCATCTTCAATGCGTTCTCTACCTTCTTTGAACAATAGCCAGTAGCTATTAAAACATAGTATGTATCGTACTTTATGATTTTCATTTTGTTTGCTCGTCCCTATATTATATTATAGAGTGACACTCTATTCCTAACCTAAATCAATGACCTATCTGAGAATAGTGTGCCATTTTCATCTCAAAAATTTTATGCAAACCAATCAATGTATACTGTTTTGGGAAATATGATCGATCGGAATTATATTATATTATTATTGTCGTATGTCTTTATGTCGTCGCAAGAACGTCAAAATAAAAAAGACATTATTATGGAACAGGTCTCATTTGGAGTATTGTTTTTTGCTTAAAAATAATTAAAATGTTCAAGTTAATAGTCGGCTTATTAGCAATTGGTATTTTACCAAAATTATGTGACACTGCTGTGGCAATCTACCCGAAGGAAGACAAACCACCAGAATTTGGTAAAGTAGTAATTTTGACAAAATAAAGCTTAATACTGCAACTAGGTATAATCAGTTGCAGAATCGCATTATCAATCTTCACTTAAGCTGGACAAAGAACCAGTTCAAAATAAAAGTCAGTTCTTCCTACAATCCAGGAAAAGTTGTTTATAAAACATATTGAATAAAATAATACATATAATGCTTTTTTAACTTAATATAATGAAACTAATTACTCTAGTGTGTGAATAAATAAATAAATTATGAATAAATCAATTTAAACAGCATTTATAGAACTAGCTACAAAATGGAATTTTCTGTTTTTTGTAATTTTTGAAGTTACTAACAAAATAAAAACAAAAGAATATTAATAATAAAATACATTTAACTTACTTTATACATATATTACATATTAAATAATTATATACAGTCATTTTAATTTTACTTTGCAAAATGAGCTATTTCTAGTGAAAAACAAATAAATTGCTAATAAACAGCTTTTTAAAAATAATTTAAACTGTTGCTCAACTTGTTTATGATACAAAGTGCCGAGTGATCATGCGTCTGGCAGTAAGTGACACGCCGGTCCATAACAGTTGTAGTGCCGCTCAGAGCTCTAAACCGTAAAGATCTTAGTGGCACTGCCACCCGTCTTCCTGAGACATGAGTTAACTAGTCCCATATGCCTGTAATCTCAGTATCCTTACTCTTCAAAACCGGAATGCGGTAATGCTCACATTACTGCTTGGCGGCAGAAATAGGTAAGGTGGCAAGTACTGTCCTGGACGAATTGTTTCACAAGGAGCTCTACTGCTACTAAACACTACTAGACACTAGACACTGTTATGGGTAAACTTGTCGCTTACAATTAGTCTCACGACTTGTTCGTCCCGTCACTTGATTTCTTAAAAAAACGACGTGACGTCGCATTACTATGAAATTACCTAATATATTCTAGCGTGCCTGGAGTGCCAAATATGTTGAAGGATTTATTTACAGACACGAGTATTAGAGGAAGACTATTCATCTTTAGTCTACTATGTACAAATTTATACGTATACGTTTAATATAATTATTAATACAAAGATCGAACACTCAGAAGAAATTCCTTCGATCCGGCCGGATTTGAACCGACGTCTTCTAGCATACCCTAGCATACCGTGACAGACGCTATATCAACTAAGTCACGGAACAAACCAGCGGCATCACAAATTCTTTTACGTGCTTGCGTCGTATCTTTGCATTTGGTTTTTCAACGACTTTTTAGCCGTAGCGCCATCTATGAGAAATCTATGATATTTCGTAACCCAGTTAGATTCCTTTACAGCTACCAGCCCCGGCTAGAGATGTCGCTATTCATTGTATTAAAATTTTTATTGAATTGATATTAAATTATTTTTATGTGAAATTACTCCACTAGTTTTCTTATAATTATTAATACAAAGACCAGTATACGTTTAAGTTTATTAAATTTATTTTCACAGCCTGTCAAGAAGGATGCTACCTGAAAAAATTGAACCGAGTAATAGGGTATGGCGAAACGTATTACAACGTAGGAAAAGAATGTGCGTCGTATGAATGTCGAGATAGCGGTGAAACCGTTCAATATACGTAAGTGTATTATTTATC